GTTGGTAATACGGATAGGGATTCGGCAACAGATATGGGTGAACAAGAGCGAACAGAACTAAGCGATGTCGATAAAACGGTAAAACAGGCGGAGAAATCGGTACGGGACTATTAGCAATAAATTTGTTGCGGAATGAGTAATGTTCACTTTTATAGGAAAAGAGGGGGCACGGATCACAAGAGCCGACATCTAACAGATTTGCTCGTATCAATATGTCAGCAAATGCATCGTACTGTGAAGTCCAAATGTGTCCTCAAGATGGAGGAGGGAGGAGTGAATACGACGGGAATAATGCTCGAATACTGACCGTGGAGGGACATAGGNGGTTATATCATATCATATCAAGCGGTATACGAATAAAGTCACAAGTGCTGGCAGCTATGGGTGAATAGACAACAATGTGTCCATTGATGTGTTTCAAATGGGTTGTGGTCAAAAGAGTTTACTAAAGAGTGAATACGTAATAATCTGGGAGCGATGATCAAATGTGATCTAAACAACAAATACATTCATTACAAGGTGGGATGGGGAGGGGGGGGCAAACGAAAGGAGGTTTTCAGTCCAAAACGGAATGAATGTTGAATTTTCCAAACTGGTCGATCTTTACATTGGGTATGAGCAAAGCGATTAATCCGATGTGATGAGTGGTACTGTGTTTGAGAAGCCACTTTACCGAGTTTAAACCGAGATCTGGCATCTTCTTCTTCCGGGTCTTGTTATTATAATGCTCGAGAAACCACACCTTTTTTTACAACTGTGAGTCTCAGGCAGGCCCAGTGAACTTCGACTGTGTAGCATGAGTGCCAACAACACTCCGATGGACTGGACGTAACAACAAGAGCATTACTAAAACGTACAAGCCGGTAATCAGACAGTCTCGTGTTGGGGTGAGAGATTTTAAGCGCCACAGACCGCGGAATATGATCCAATCAGATCGCATTAGGGGTCAGAGGGGATTTACTTGCTTAAGGTCACAGGTGAGAGGGACGAGACGACCGAAAACGATGGAGCAATTGCACTGTAGCTCGGATTACACAGTAAGCACAAAACTCGCCCCTGGTCGTAGTTACTGTGGTCAGCTTCGATTATTGAGCTATCGTCAATGTTAGAGCAACTATGAACAGTGTACTGTAACTGTAGTGGGCACGAAACAGTGCGTCACCCTTCATGCTTATCGAGTGGCGTCCGGCTTGGTTGTTACACGTAAATAGCATGGCTTCACCGACCACCGATCCACCGATTCGACGTCCGTCACAGAGCTCGACAAGATGCACGACCGAGGTCTGCCTCATTTCAACACAGAAAGAGTTTGGGAAGACAGGTGGTCAATCCGGGGGTAGAAAATGTGTGATCAATTGACCAATGAGGTGCGTTGAAAGGAAGCAGATCCAACCATCCACATCGTTGTTTTCTCAAGTCCAAGTGATGATTTCTCAATTGAAAATAACGGTTTCACAAACGAAAATTATAGGTTCATTGATGCGTGAAGTAGGCCTTTGTAGCCAATGCAATAGGCTTAGGATGATTCAACTGCGACAATGGGCTTAGCCGCCGCTACGAGCACAATGTGACAAGCCCTTGTACCAGTGCTATTTCGAAGACGGTTTGAAAAACGAGAATGTCATAGCTAACCAACTCAGTGAAAGCAACCCCGAAGGAGATAGAGGCTCTTGTATGCGTGTGTGCACTAATGCTTTGGTCTTTTTGACTTCAATGGCTGATCGATTTTGTTTTAGACAAGATTGAACGAACAAAACCACTGACCTCGCTCGGTCGGGGAAGTAACGCGATTTTCAATAATCGTGGCCATGAATCGTTGACTAGGCTGTCACATCCTGGGTTCTCAAAATGTTCGTGTGAGAAACTCCACTAAAATCATCACTTTCTCGAATTTAACCACTTGTTTTGTTTCTAATGCAAATTTTTCAGCACTGAACGATACTTTCAACGAAGAACTTTGAAACACAAAAAGAAACTCGCAACATTTGCACCGGAAAGCAAAACTAAATTCAATTACCTATGAAGGTCTAAGAAGCACTTTTTTGGATTCCCAAGTTGTCTACTGGATTGTGTTTACCAGGCTGATGGTGATCCTATGATTTCTTTTCACCTGTTGCGATTAGTTGGCAACATATCGTAATGAATATAGTGCTACTGCCTTAAGTGAAACTGCGGAGGATATGATAAACCGAGATAAGTTTTCAAAGCTTTCACAGCAAACACAAGGTAATCATTTGTTTATTATCACCTAGAAAATTTAACTTTCCTCAATTAATAGAAGCCTCTTCGTAGGAATGACAATTGGGAAAAATAACCATTGTCGTTTCTCTTCTCTATCGCAAATATAATATAAGCTGAAAGTGATGGATTCTATGGTGTAAAAATGTAGTTCGTGATGCTCATCTCACCGGTTACATACAGGGGTCTGGGCAAAAGAACTAAATTTTTAACCATTAGGATATGAATTTGTTATGGACGATCTTTGGGGGGAGGGGTGATTATAACTGAAAAGCAGTTCACTATGATGCCCACGAACTGAAAGAACCACTTGTTTTTACGTTCAGATCTAATTTTGGTAGAATTGATTCACGACCCGATACCTAACATATGCAAAGGATACGAACCATTTGTAGAATGTGTTGCTCACAGTCAACAATGAGAATATTTCTTTTGAAATACGAGCTCTGTGAACCCTAGTTTTTTATGGTTTATTTTTTTGTACCAAAATCTGTATTGCACGAAATTGACATGAACCCCACTAAGGTCTCCAGCAATTTTCGACAAATTAACCACATCGTGTTCGTTTTCTTTCCGGACGTTTCAGTATAAGACCATAAGCGGACTGAGGAAGCGAAATGCTGGTACCTGGTCTTGTCAATGTAACGAAAGAACCAAATGGCTAAATATATGTCGAAAAATTATTTTTCTTTCTTCTTGTTTACTAAAAACTACCTCTTAGCTGATATTTGAAAGAGCGGGCTTCACAATACTGAGTGTGAGTAATCTGTGTGTTGAATTTGCTTCTCTGTTGAGCAGATACAAATTCAGCACGAAAGTCACACAAGTCCCATGTTGCTCTGGTTCCGTTTGCCAAGAGGCGAGAGTCCCTTTTTGCAGTCAAATTTGTCCATTGATGCACACTGAATACCACCGGACGATTACTCTTCCCTCTCCCTCTACGCACAGAAAATGGAACGCGAATCTCAACAAATGGATCGATTCAATCCCATCAATGTGGAGGCTAAATATGTGGGAGATATTTTCAAAGTTCGAGACAAACCACAAGATCATGTGGGATATCTTCCGGATGTCCTTCAAGAAAAGGTGAGTCAGTCATTGTTGTGCATGACTAGTTGTGAAGATCCGTTAGTAACAACCGGGTCATGCAATGGGACTTCATGCTTGATTTCGATCAACACAAATTGTATCCCTCAGTTTGTGATACGCGAGCGACAATGTGGCTCGTCGAACCCATTAAGAGCACATCATGCACACGGAAAAGGTTTTCCGTATTGTAATCAGTCATCATTTGCACATAATGTATTCAAAATACTTGACTCGAATCAGAATGGTGTCCCAACTTATCACATACAATCGGAAGTGGCGGCAAAACGTTAGAGGGCCCCCATTGAACTGATCCGGAGGTTCCCACTTCGGATCCCACCGCCGTCGACCAACATTCCTACCTTATCCTGTGATCGGTTATAAGCCGCGGCAGGAAAATTATGAATACCGTTTCATTTGCACCCTGACGGTTGCTCACAAGAACTTGTCCGACATAAAGAGATAAACACACGTCCTAACATTGAGTACGGAGTTATACATGCAGCTCCCTCTCAAAAGAGACTACAATAGTGATTTGATCACGCGAGATTTGGCAAGAGCCATTATGTATACGGTTTCGAATACGTGTTTGCGTTTCCATTTCTGTAATCAACAGGTTAGTATCATATATCTCAAACACGCACAGCCTATCACTATCTTCTAAACGATCAACTACCCATTTATTCACTCATTTTTTGCAAGCTACATAAGTAAAACAAAAGGAAGCCTTTGCAGAGGATACAAGAAAACAAACCAGATTGATTTACTACCAATGCACGGAAAACTACTTCTCATGGATGCCGGTCAGCAGTTGAATAAACATGTATTTAAGATAGTCTTACAAATGCACCCTGTTCCATCAAGGGCTGTTTGTGAATGATATTTAAATAAAACCGATGTAGATGCCTTTTGTCTGTTCACTTCATCGCTTTGTTCTCACAAGTGATCTGTCGATGAGCTTCCACTGAAATGACCCAGATATAAATGCTTTTCTTTGACCCAGACCGAAAATGGTTAACTTCAACCCTACTCTAATCCTCATATATCCCATCACCATTCCCTTGCACCCAACGTCTACTTTTGTTTACAAACCATACACACTCTTTTTAACTTCAGTGCGATGATACAACGCCTCAAGCGAGATAATACGCTTTCGGAATAGTCAATGGGAAGCCGGCGTTCCTGTTTGATTATATTTCACCTTCACTTCACAAGCACTGATGATGTCACCTCGGCTGGTGACGAAACGTTTGCAAACAAATTGCCAAGCTCGGCGAACAGGCGAAATGGAATTCAGTTCATCCGAGCTACGAGAACCGATTTTCAATATTTTGTCAATATTTCACCTAGTTTAAATGGGAATCGTGTAACAAGAATAAAACGAACAGCGATTGGCTAATACGAGTTGAACCAATGAGATTCCCTTGTGAATATTATTCATCCAGCATGATTTCTTTCTATAAGAAAACCACTGCTTTTGTGGCCTTATTTTTACGTCTCGGTTTCGCAAGACTCTGGTTACTGATTACCAGTGCGATTTCGATCAAGTTCGTGGTTCATGATCAGCGAATATTCTGAATAATATGTTTATCCATCAATCGAATTGCACACAACCCATAACAGTTTGCAAAAAGGTTACCTGTTTTCCATATTTATATAATTGTTTTAACCACAGAATGTAGTTACCGAAAACAAGCTTATTCACTATTTTATTTTTCTTCTCAGGGCACATCCTTATTTAGTTCCATTATTCAAGACTTCAAACCGTAATCCTGATCGGCTCCAAAGTATATTGCCTTTTGAACCAATTTGTGCCGCAAACGGAAATCAGTTTAAACTCTTCAACTTCCAGTGATAGAAATTATCTCATAGTCGGCTTTGATAAGACTTTGGAGATAACGGAACACATGCAGAGCAGACAACGCTATCAGCATCAGCTTCTACTCAGTGCCTAATCCAATTTTTTTTATCCATTTTGTATCATTCGGCTAAGTTCAACTCTTTTCATCTTATCAACACAATATACGACTGTTCGAATAGTATTTTAACCTACCTTGTTTTCTCGTTTCCCTGTTGTCAGATTTTTTCCAATCTAACACCACCTGACCTGGCCCAGTGTGCTCGTGTATGTCGCGCCTGGTTACAGATCACTGAGAGAAGCTGCAATATGGGTCGTTTAGATCTGTCTTCTATGGGAGAGAAGTGAGTAGCTCTTTCTCGCTCTCAGTTTCGGCTAGTGCACACCGCTGTAATCTCACAAATGTCTACTGTATATCCACCTTCCTCCAATGGCATAAAAAATTTAAAAAAATAAAATAAAAAAAGACTCAGCATTCGCTACGAACCATCGGGAGTCGTCATGATATTCGTCTGACACTACTGTGTTCATCTCATCTGAACACTTAGATCAGATAGGCGGTTGATCCAAACAAATACATAGCCAGGAACAGATTATTAGTTAGCTATAAGATAATCGTTTATGAGTACTACTAATGACGGTATTTATTTTGATTAGAAAAATTAAATTTATCATCCACAGAGTAACCGAAATATAATTGGGAAATATTGGGGCCATCTAGCTGTACATTAGTCAGCTCCAGGATACATTCGAATCACTCCCTAACTCTTGATGCATAGTGATGTTCGGAGTGGATTACCAGATCCTAATAGGGTTTAGGAAGACGGGTTTTGGTAAACTGA